GGAATATTTTTTTTTCTTTTTTCTTTTTCATTTACCCTCATGAATTAAACGAATGAGATCCCTGGGGTAACTTCTTCTTCTGTATGACATTTGGTGGCTAGCGTTCACATCTTCCTGACTTGGTTCCCCACTTGGGGCGCTCCCAGAAGATGCAGTTTTTCTTTCGAAAATAGCGTTATGGAGGCGGCACTCACGCAGTCATCCCCGTGCGCCTCAATAGCCAGAGATTCCAGGATTTCCCTTGCGAGCTGGTTTCTGTGCTTTCCGACGATGGTGATGTTTTCGAAATCAGGAGCGCATTGGCATACTCGGCAATGCGCCGGAAGATGGCCACCTGACATTAGTGCGCCAACGGAAGCTGCATGCTCCCTGGTGCGGTCGTTAATACACCGCCCAATTTGTCCAATGTAGCTTTTGCCACATGACAGCGGAATACGGTACACAACTCCTTTTTCGCACGGGGCGTACGTTGTTCGGTGCGCGATGCCACAGGTAGACCTCGGATTTTGATCATTCTTAGAATTTACCTTACGGCACATAGCATAAGCCTTGTTGGGGGCTGAGCATACGACCTGTACGCCATGTCGGCCGGCTATCTTTTTTAGGCGATGCGTTATCCCGTGGATGTATGGCATCACCACAAGAGGTTTGGGGGGCTCCTTTTTCGTTGGTTGTGCATTGATTTCCTGTTTTTGCCGCACTTTCTTGCAGAGGGTCTCGCATACCGGTATTAGGAGTGTACTTGCGTAACCAGAGTCCTGAAGCCTACAGAGCTGTTTTTTGAAAGCTACGGCCGACTCTATGGGGGCAAGATTTTTGTAATGCCGAGGCGAGAGCTTTGGTTGCCAACCCTCGTTTTACAGTTCTTGAGTGTTCGGAGTTGCTTGGAAGGAATCCTTTACATGAGCGGGCTTCATACATCCAGCACACGTGGGTATTTCTGAACTCCAAGGAGAGATCCAGAAACCGTATGGACTGGTTTACCGGAAGTTCCTGGGTGAAAGATAGTCCTGGACTGCTGTGTTTAAAGGTGCGTAAAACAGCATCTAAGCACCCGTTGTTGGGCTCGTCTGCTTCGGAATTACACAGTATGAGAAAGTCATCCACGTACCGGAAAATGACCTCGATGCGTTGATCTTTTAGATTTTCTTGGATATTCTTACCGCATGCTGCAAGGTACAAATCGCACAAGTATGGGGCTACTCGGGATCCTATGCATACTCCACTTTTCTGTACATAGCGTTGCTCCTGGTGTGATATCACAGTCGCTGTGAGGTAGCTTTCTAGAAGCTCCAAGAAGCTATCGAGGCTCATACCAGCTGCATTCTGGAAGCATACCAGCTGCATTCTGGAACCAAATGTCATACAGAAAAAGAAGTCACCCCAGGGATCTCATTCGTTTAATTCATGAGGGTAAATGAAAAAGAAAAAAAAAAAAAAATTCCAGTAAATAAATAGTTTAATTCATGAGGGTAGATGAAAAGGAAAAGGAAGAATTTCAGTAAATGGTTGATAGTCCAGCAGTGTATGTCTCTTTTTTTCCACTCCTTGGTTTTTACTTCTACGTTCAGCTGGAAACCTTCAGAATCATGTCATACCAACCGGCTCAGCTCCAGGCAGTCATGAATTATCTTTCTAGTTCTCTGAGCACATCTTCTCTTTATTTTCACCTCCTTGACCCACAAGGTCTTTGTCATCTCATTGCAACCAACATCTGCCGGGCAAGGTTGCTCGCCCGCAGCATCAGAAAGAAGATACTTCTTGACGAGGTACGGCATTTCTTCGGCTTCATTGAGCCATCACAGGGGCATGCCCAACGAGTTTCGAAGATTCTGAAATCAGAGGCATGGCGCCAAGTACGCATTCTCACAGATTTTCTCAGGGTGAAATCTTTCAGCCCCAACGCTTTTTCAATCCACATGACAGTGACAAGATACACCACGGAGTACCTTTGGAAAATGTGTTTCCTCCCAACATGGTAACAACATCTAGCACGAAAAGTTACGACGGCACCAAAAAGCTCGCCGCTCCAGATCATCGGGGACGTATCCCTTTCGGCACCAGCCCGACGCGTGCTCGAACAAGGGCCTAAGTTCTGCCTCCCACCAAGGCAAGACGCCATCGATAAGGTCCTAATGGTAAGGGAAATCGTGTCCAAAGCACCTCAGGAAACATCATCGCAAATCATCAATGAGGGACTTGAATGCCTGGCCAGCTTACGCAACCAGGACACTACAAATATGACATTTGCCTCAACGGTGCAGGAACTACGCCGCAAAGACCTAAGGCTATGCCTCTCCGACAAAGAAGGAGGTTTTGTAGTCCTGGATGCGGGGTCGTATGGAGAAAAAGCCCAACAAGCCATAACGAAGAACTTCAAAAAAGAAGATCCAAAACAAACTCTATCAGCAAAAAAAGCCATCCTCAAATTACTTGAAAAGGAGCAATGCAGAAGCCTCATCACCAAAATCAGAGAATCGCAACAAGGCGAATTGTGTGTCTTTTTCTCGGCAAAAACACACAAAAACAATGTTCCTTTTCGTGCCATAGTATCAGAGAGACACACGTGGCAAAGTAATGTGTCACAGGTCTTGGCGAAGATTCTAGCACAAGTTAAAGTAAACGACCCCTTCAGAATACCAAACTCGGATCGAGTGATTTCCTTTCTTCAGGAAAAAGGATGTGAAATAGTATCGGGGTTCTCCTTAGATATCACGGACATGTATTATTCGATTCCCCATGCCGCTCTCCTGATGATCCTCCGAACAACCATCGAGGAGCAGGGCCTTCAATGCTTCCAGAATGCAGCTGGTATGAGCCTCGATAGCTTCTTGGAGCTTCTAGAAAGCTACCTTACAGCGACTGTGATATCACACCAGGAGCAACGCTATGTACAGAAAAGTGGAGTATGCATAGGATCCCGAGTAGCCCCATACTTGTGCGATTTGTACCTTGCAGCATGCGGTAAGAATATCCAAGAAAATCTTAAAAGATCAACGCATCCAGGTCATTTTCGGGTATGTGGATGACTTTCTCATACTGTGTAATTCCGAAGCAGACGAGCCCAACAACGGGTGCTTAGATGCTGTTTTACGCACCTTTAAACACAGCTGTCCAGGACTATCTTTCACCCAGGAACTTCCGGTAAACCAGTCCATACGGTTTCTGGATCTCTCCTTGGAGTTCAGAAATACCCACGTGTGCTGGATGTATGAAGCCCGCTCATGTAAAGGATTCCTTCCAAGCAACTCCGAACACTCAAGAACTGTAAAACGAGGGTTGGCAACCAAAGCTCTCGCCTCGGCATTACAAAAATCTTGCCCCCATAGAGTCGGCCGTAGCTTTCAAAAACAGCTCTGTAGGCTTCAGGACTCTGGTTACGCAAGTACACTCCTAATACCGGTATGCGAGACCCTCTGCAAGAAAGTGCGGCAAAAACAGGAAACCAATGCACAACCAACGAAAAAGAAGCCCCCCAAACCTCTTGTGGTGATGCCATACATCCACGGGATAACGCATCGCCTAAAAAAGATAGCCGGCCGACATGGCGTACAGGTCGTATGCTCAGCCCCCAACAAGGCTTATGCTATGTGCCGTAAGGTAAATTCTAAGAATGATCAAAATCCGAGGTCTACCTGTGGCATCGCGCACCGAACAACGTACGCCCCGTGCGAAAAAGGAGTTGTGTACCGCATTCCGCTGTCATGTGGCAAAAGCTACATTGGACAAATTGGGCGGTGTATTAACGACCGCACCAGGGAGCATGCAGCTTCCGTTGGCGCACTAATGTCAGGTGGCCATCTTCCGGCGCATTGCCGAGTATGCCAATGCGCTCCTGATTTCGAAAACATCACCATCGTCGGAAAGCACAGAAACCAGCTCGCAAGGGAAATCCTGGAATCTCTGGCTATTGAGGCGCACGGGGATGACTGCGTGAGTGCCGCCTCCATAACGCTATTTTCGAAAGAAAAACTGTATCTTCTGGGAGCGCCCCAAGTGGGGAACCAAGTCAGGAAGATGTGAACGCTAGCCACCAAATGTCATACAGAAGAAGAAGTTACCTCAGGGATCTCATTCGTTTAATTCATTCATGTAGAGAGTTCAGCTAGCTCAACTCTCTACATTACTTCATGAGGGTAGATGAAAAAGAAAAAAGAAAAAAAATTCCAGTAAATAAATAGTTTAATTCATGAGGGTAGATGAAAAGGAAAAGGAAGAATTTCAGTAAATGGTTGATAGTCCAGCAGTGTATGTCTCTTTTTCTCCACTCCTTGGTTTTTTCTTCTACGTTCAGCTGGAAACCTTCAGAATCATGTCATACCAACCGGCTCAGCTCCAGGCAGTCATGAAAAAACTATTGTTACAAAACAGTACCAAAATGTCACAATTTGTTTCCTTGGATATAAGGACGAGTGACTAGACTAATCGGTAGTGGGTTTCAAATAATTTTAAGCGCCATATTTAGCGTTAAAGTAAACTTCCAAAAAGGGGTTAATTTCATTCACATTTCTACTGTTACAAAAGTTGACATTTTCTTGCTAAAGAAATAGCAATCTTGAAAAAGTAAGCACATAGTCGAGTTCTCCAGTAAATTTCACTCCAGAAAAACCGCACAGCAGTTATGAAGGTACTTAAGTCATTGAATGATAGTTTTCGAGCAATGAAAAAATGGTCAAAACATGAAGCTGAGGAAAACGCGTTTTAAAATCTATATTGTGTTCCTCTTTCGATGGCACTTGCCACTTGACCTAAAATGCTCCAGGAGCGTACGGCAGTCTCTCCTCTGCATTGTCCTTCTGTGCTTTGGCCACAGCTTCCATCTTTTGTCTTTTGCGCAATGTTTCGGCGCCTTTACCTGGGCCTTTGCAACCTTCGTCCGAGTGACCTTCACGGCCTGTGATGTCTGGTGGCTCCCTTGCTCAATGCCCATCTCCAAAATAACTTTGTCAAAGCCTAGAGGACCCAGGTTGAAGGCTGCAAGAGTCGCAGCACACTCGACAGTACTTAGATAAGCGACCTTTGGGCACCTCTTCCAAAGCAAGGCGTTTAAAGAATCATTCCCGTTCTGGGTTTTCATCTGGGAACACCTTTCAAGAAAATCATTCCGTGGCAGGCGGTTGTACAAGGGCACTAGCTCCTTCGCTATCTCCTTGGAAAAGCTGGCTTATGTGGCCGAGATGCTGGTGATTCTCTCGCTTCCTTGAGAGCCTTGCTTCGGTTCAAGTGGCACCAGGACTCCATCCCAGTGGAACAAGCGAAATGAATTGGCTCCTTGTCGGGGGGTGGTATGAATGCAGGCAAGGCGTTGATGCAGGAGACTGGCATATACACTCCACGCTGCATGGAGTATTGGGTCACGTGGCAGGTTTAAGCGAATCGGAGTTCCTTATTCACCAGTGTGGCCAATAAGAGAGCGTGCGGTGTTGTTTTCTATGCGGTTTCACGTTTGGTGCTCACTACGTCTCGCAAGGAGCTCTATACCAAAAGAAGGAGGGCTAAGCACTTTTTCTAATGAGGGGTGCCTGTCTGTGCTAGACCTAATGAACGCGGAGCGAGCGCACTTTGAGAATGGCAAATTGCTGTGACCGCGCGTGTTTTTATGGAGCCGCTCGGCCGCCTGTACATCAGAAATAATTTATTTCGGAGTAAATACTGGATCTACAGGAATAAAACTTTTCGACATCATTCTTCGGGAGTTATACAAGCTGATAAGACTATTTTTCAAAAACATGACTTTTTCAAAAAATTTTAATTTTAAGGCCTTAATATTATTTACAATATTGAAATTAAATTTTTACAGTTTATGTTGCTTAATCTTCTCTTTATAAATCTGGTGTTAGAATTGATATACCTAGCTTGCTCTTTTAGGCTCTCGATGCAATGTACATGCAGAAAAAAGTGTGTGCTTGTGTACATGTGAGGCATGGCAGCACACTTAAAAAAGCCTAGTTAAATAAACTAATTAGCTCCTTCTAAACCACTGAGGGCAGTAAACAATCAAGATATGTGCGACTCTTTTCATTTTAATATAAATAAAAACAGCAAAAATATAATTTAAGGGTCTAACAAACGTTTCCTAAATTTTTCATAAATGTAAAAAAAAAAAAAAAAAAAAAAAAAAAAAAAAAAAAAAAAAAAGTATTAAACATGAATAGTTGCATTCTACATACTCGAAAGTAATGCATACCAAATTTGGTTGTGATAGGACAATATCAAGAACAGAAATGCTTGTGCACAAACTGCAAAGATGCCCTAAGACTACATAAAAAGAAAAACGCATTTGATTTTTACCACAGATGGGCCGCTACACTCTTTCGCGGTGCAACAAATGAGATTTTGTTAATAAATTTGCGTCAGAAACTGAAGCTATAGAAGACTGCCATGGAGAGGGGATGGCTAGGCCTACTTGTCAACGTTATTGTAATGGCGGGCGACTTTGCAACTTGAAGAGCCACACAGAAAAATGGCTCAAATTCACGCCGTTCTGGGTTGCCTGGAGGTCTTCAAATGCGTATTCGACTAATTTCGTAATCATGACCGGCACTAGTTATTTTTATACATCAAATATAAAAATTCAGAAATAATAACACCATAAAACCCAAAATAAAAAATGTTTGCAAAATATATTCGTCTTTCGACTTGCATCTCCCCTTAAGCTGCCCCAGCTCCCTATTCTATGGTTACATTACTACTCTAGTTGTGCTCTCAGTTACCTTGTTGTTACTTAAGCCTGCAGAGCCCTTGTCATTTTTTGTGCTTGTTTGCTTGTTCTTTCTGTGTATTTCTGACTGCTACGGACGTGCACTTCAAAGTATGTGGCTTTAACATTTGCACGTTATACACCTCTCACGTGTACGCTCTTTCCTCAGGTTCAAAAGGACAAGAAGACACAGGAGAAGGAGTACTTCTCATTGGGAGCGGACGGTAAGCTTGGTCTCTCGTTGCCCTTACGGGGCTTTTAGAGTCCAGGGGCAGACTGATGTGCCCCTACGTCGCCCATCACATTCACGTTTGGTGCATTCATCAGGTAATATGGTAATTCTTAGAAAATAGTAGATGAGTGTAAAACGTTCAATGAGTCGACCTTGTGCCTGCAAACTAAAATGGAAGGTAGCGAGCGTCCTACGTCGGCAACTGAAGGGCGACCGATTTGAAGCGACACATTTTGGCTGCTTTTACACGCATGGTATGTTCAAGAGCGTCTCAAACGTGAGCGCTCGATAACGGTGGAGAGCAAGCTGGAAATTTTCAGAAGTGTACCGATTAACATTAGAAAGGTCTTAGCCGAGCTGGGTTCAAACCCCGTTCCTTCGTGTGGCTTGCGTTGCCAACATTGCCACGGATGCCGCAATATACATAGTTCGGTGAAGGCCTTTTTTGATGGTGCAAATGCAGAAAGGCGGGTTGTTTCTGGGGTAAAAGATATGCAAGAAAAAGAAGCTTGGAATTTAATTTAATTTACATTGAAATCACAGATTTTTTTTTCTAACAAGGATCTAGGACTTATCCAACATGCTTGCTGCGACCGTACTTGAGGCAAAACGGAGCACAGTTATGACAAGACAGCTTGTGTTGCCACTGCTGCTTGTACTGGAGTCAGTCAAAAGACTCTTGGAGTATTTGCACTCTTCTTACCCCATCGTTGAATGCTGCCAGTACATTGCAACTATCATCTGTTTGAATCGCCAACATCCATTTACGCGGCAGTGGCTAGTTGGTGCCACCGTTTTGTTGAAACGAATGCCGTTGGCAAAAGCTGTGTGGTTCTGAAAGGGGATTATTGGAGTTTAGGTACAGTCTTGGCTATATTGTGTTGCTCTGTTGCCAGCCATTTGATCAAGTAAGGGTACGGAAAGCTGTATTCAATGTTTTATTGGACACGTTGGCAGCGGGCAACACTGATGCTATGCAACAGTGTGGCTCGCGGGTTCATTTCACCCTCAAGGAATGCAAATCTCTTTATTGTTAGCTGGGCAACCCCTGCTGCTCTTAGCAATGTTGCATTAAATTATTTCAATGCTTCACTGGAAGGCCGAGATCTACATTTCACTTAGGGCTAGAAATGATCAAGACAATTTGGAAACTGTGGGAACCCCTGAGTGTGTTCTGAGAACACATTAGGGTGTCTGAAAACACCCCAGGGTGTCTGGGAACCCAATTTGAGGATGCACGGTGTCGCTGAGGTAACACTTGCTTCAGCCATATTGCAGCACGCGCGGTGGAGTCTGCAACGCGCGCCGCTTCCACGCGGAGGAATTGAGTTCGAACCCTGCTGGGCCCGGATCTTTACCTTATTATACTGTACTCCACTCGAAATTTCCAGCCCACACTCGGCTGTCGTCAAGCGTTCTGTTTCGGAACATTCCCGAACGTGCCACATGCATAAAAGCCTGTTCACAGATTTGCATTTGACTCCGACCGCCTAAGACAAGACAGGTTTCTCAGCCTCCTAGGATGGCTGATGGCTGGATGTGCAGCAATGCAACCGGTTGTAAGCCATCACAAAAGGCTTAAAAGTTGGTCTTGTCTCGGTAGGTTGTAGCCAAATGCAAGCGTGTGAACAGGCCTTAAAGCGCTGATTCAGGTCCATCAAAGACGCGTGATGCTTGACACCTTCCGATTTAGTTACTAGGCACAAGTTCACTTCATTAAGCGTTTATTTTCAGTTGTACTTTTGTTTACGACTTTCGATCGGGGACAGTGTTGTCGGCAGAAGTGACATTACGTCGTTAGTGCGGGGTGTAGCTTGCCCGGCGACTTTAGCTCGTACCCCTTGACCGACACGCTTCTCCTCGAGTTCCAAGAGTCCCCCCTCCTTGTCACCACAGACTTCCTGCCCATCTTCCTACACGTGCTGGTCCAGTGCGGCATGGTGTCTGCCGAGGTGGAGGCGGACTACATGTGGGGGCTCCTTCACCCCTCCCTCCTTACGGGCGAGGGGGGCTACTACCTCACCACGCTCAGCAGCGCCGTGCACGTACTCAAAAACCTCGGGGGCGGCGCTTCGTCTCCCGTGTCCTCGCAGAACACCCCGGCTCCACCGTCGCTCACCAGCTCCACGACGTCTGCAAGCAGCGGCGGGAGCTCGGCCGCTTCGAGTGCCCCTGCGGTCCGCGTCGGGGACTGCAAATGGACCAAGGTAGGAGGGCTGACCTTGTACTTAGACCTTGGGCTTTCAATGGGGGGGGGGGGGGGGGGGGGGGGGTCGGGTCCGCAGACCCTTTGTAGTCCCCCAGGGCCTTGATGGGGTCCCTGAAGGCCTTGTTGGGTTCCCTGAAGGCCTTGCTGGGGTCCCTGAAGCAGTCAACTGTTAGCCAAATCGAGCAACAAAACTTTTGTTTTTTTTATTGATGCTGGCTGTTTTACAAAACTAAAAGACCATTTGTGCTATGTCCTCAACTGTATCTGAGTGAAGTGTTTTCCCAGATTATGCTCTATTTCCACTCATCGATGCATAAAGGCCCGTTCACACTCTTGCGACTGCTTGTGACCTCTTAAACCTGGGTTCCTTAAAACTTCTTAAACCAGAGAACACACTGGCGCCATCTATTGGGAAGCAGTGTAAACTCGGCGGTCCGGCATATTTTTTTTTATTTCTCGCGCAATATTCTTTCTTTTTTGGCTCGAAAAACTTTTGTCAATGTTATAAACGAGCCTTTCTATGGGTATTACGCACATTTGACCTCGGAAATCCCGCAAAACCTTCGCTTTTGTGAAATGCAGTTCTAGGGTCACCGCATAGATGGCGCCACAATGTCAGTGTGTTCCCTCATTCTAGAAACATTTAAGAAGTTGTAAGAGATCTCGTCTCTCTCAGTCGTACTCGGTCGCAAGAGTGTGAACGGGCCTTAACTGTAGGCCAAACACTCCCCGGTGTGTTCTTTATAGTTTGCAAGTCTTGTAGGCTCCTCAACAGCTTGACTGCGTCAGTGTTGAGGTCAGAAGGGGCTTGTCGGCCATCAGTCGAGTAGGCTAAGGGTGCCTCGGGACTGTTAAAGATTGTTAGAAGAGAGACAAGCAGGGTGTGCAACTATTTAAAATTTGGAATACAAATAAAATATGTTTTATTATTTGACGTACATGCGATTTGCTGTCACTTTTTAATGCGGAATGTGTTAAATCGCTGGCACCTAAACATATCCGGTTAGGTGCTAGCAACAGAAGTCGACAGGGCGATTGCGGACGCCATTGCCAGCCTAACCTTCTCCTCGAGTGCTTCCGTGTAACTCCCGGCATGGAAAAAAACGTAGAGCATTCACACATACAGCGGTGCCCCGCTTCGTGAAACGAGCACGCTCCGGGTTTTCCCAGAGAAAGAATGCGAGAGAAAGAGGTGCAGAAAAGAAGGAAAAAGAAAGCTGATGCCCACTTTGCCGCAACAAGTGGAGGTATAATTCGTGTGATTGGTTCTCTTTTGCTGTGAGCCGGTGCCAGGGCTCTGCTCGGTGCTGCATGTTCTGTTTTCAGCACACTCCGCCTACTGCGTCTAACTCTCCAACAGGCTGTGACATAGTTGCATTTACACTGCAACCGATGAAGATGACACCCACAATTGAGACATCCACGGAACGTTTGCGCGCTTACGTTGCTAAGCACATGGCCGTTTTGTACCATCCAGTCTCCACATGTTGAAACAGTTTCTCCACCCTAGCAGATCACATTCTGCATTACCACTGCCTTTGCCACGCCAGTAAGACAAAGGGGCAACCTTTCTTTTGCATTATTAATGCGAAATCATTAACTGTCTCATGGAGCGAGCTGAAGTCATCAATTTCAAGCACGAAAACGGCTCCTAGTTTCCGCAATCGCCTTCGGTTCCATTGGCTAGCACGCGTCGACAGGGCTCCCATTGGTCGCTACGCCATGGCCTCCAAGATCCCGAAGCGCACGCACGCTAGTATGCAGCAGACGATAAAGGGAGCACACGAGCGGCTTGCATTCTTTCGCATTCACAACTCATAAGACATGCTTAGGTGTACCTCGAGCTTTTCGTGTTCAACTCATATATTTGCATCTTGATATTTGCAATAATTTGCAGTAGAGCTCGACAGTGTAGCCACCAGATGCAAGTGAATGAAAGCCTCTGTCATATCCGAATTGTTTGCTCCTAATGACTGTTGGGAATTCCGCATTGCTTCATTCCAGGAGCAAGCTCCGGTGGAGCTGCGTTACCCGCGGGTCGCCGACTTGCAGGGCTTCATGCAGATTGTGATTCCCGACGAGCTGAGCGGGAGCATTCTTTCGAAGACCTTGCCGGTGATGCCAAACATGACCACCAAGGAAGTCTGTGAGTCGCCTCTCTTCAAAATCGCCCCCAGTGGAGCTTGACTTGGTGATCTTGTTCATGCCATGTCTGTGCTTGTGGTGTCTCTTTCCTATAGTCATCCAAATGTGGTAAGACATGTGCCCGGTGTTCCTACCGTATCTTCTCAAACCTTCCGCTGCAGTTGTAAGAGTATGTAACTCTAACTAATTTCGAAGTTGCCCCGGTCGAGCTGTGTCGGTGGTCTTGTTTGTGTCGTGTTTATGTTTGTGGTGTCTCTTTTGTACAGTGTTTGAAATGTGATAGGAAACGTGCCCAGTGTTTTTACCGTGACTACTCAGACCTTCCAGTTTAGTTGTGTGAACATGTAGTTGTAACTGGTTATAGTAGTGGCCTATTCTAAGTAAATCAACTGTATTAAAATCACTGAATATAAATTACTCCAGAAGACTTTTGTACACTTGTAATGTACTAAAATTCAAATTATTTTCCGGTGAATATATACCGCTTTTTGGCTTGTTTGTCGAAACAAAAGTTTTTCATTGGGGCAATATTGAAATGACCAAAACGGATGGCCCACTTACAAGATGCATTTTCTTTTTATTTCTTTATTCGCAGCAATAGGTTTATTGCTAATCTTTACTTCCTTAGGCATTTTCTCGTCCTAAGAAATTCTAGTTTAATAGAAGCTCTATGGCACCTACACAATAAAAAAAAAAAAAAAAAAAGCTTAATCTTCAAAATTTAGTGATTTTTGTAGGACTTTCGAAGTCGGCTGTTCTGTTGACAAGTCGAGTACTGCAGCCAAGCTCGCTGATGGAAGCTTTTAGCACTAATGTTAGTAGGCCTTGCAGATGCTTGAATAATGTTTCTTCTGTTTTTTTTTTTTTTTTTTTTTTATTATTATTGTTTTTATTGTTTGTTTTCTAGGCAAGATGATTGCTCACAAGTTCAAGGTCACAAACCCCGAGGATTACGGACTCTTCAAGCTAGTCAAGGGTGAAGGTGAGCTTCAGGTGTCACTATTCTGAGAGAATTGCAAGTTAATGGTGAAGCACTGGCATCACACTCTCAGAACTTGTGACTTCAGGAAGAGATGACGGAGTGCACCAGCTCGTGAATTTTAAGATATAGCTTGAACAATGTTTTCACCGCAGAAACATACAGCAATATGTGCAAAGCAGTGGTAGGTATCCCAGAAACCACACAAAGTGAGAATTGACTAAAGAACATTGCATTCATAAAAAGAAAAGTAAACCTGGCCATAGTTTGTTCTATGCGAACAAGCAAACTACTATTCCCAAATTTTAAAACATGGAATGCTTTATAATGGAAGCCCCTTCACCCATAAATTTGTCCCTCCGTGCCAGTCTTGGGTAGTAACGCATTACTAGTAACGCATTACTGTAACTTTGTTACTTTTTTGGCAACTTACAACTGTAACGAGTTACTTCTTAAAAATGTAACTTGTAACTGTAGTTCTTTTACTTTTTCTGAGGAAGTAACGACGTTACTTTTGTCGTTACTTTCCAGTTTTTTTATGAATAATATACAGTCATGTCTCGTTAATATGGACCCGTTAATATATGGATACCCCTCTATATGGACATCACTTTTGGGGACGAAGTGGGAAAATACATGCGATTTTTGTCTCGTTATTGTGGACCGCTCACATTATGGATGATGTTTTATGGGAGCGGGGGTGTTTGTATTAACGAGACATCACTGTATCATTGAACGAGTACAATCTAGCTATTCCTTGCACATTCCAAATTGTCTGTTCTGACATTTCAAGTGTCAGGTTGGCCTTGCATAAACTTGTGAATACGTTCTTTCACACGAGTCACGACCCGAATATAGCAACGTGTAGATTTGATTAAAAAAAAAAAGACTAAAGTTGGTGACAGGTGAAGAACGAAGTGGAAGCTCCTCCCATTCCTTTCCGTTTCAGCGGGGCGAATGGTGGAGAGGTCGCCTCCTCTCCAGCGTTCGCTCTGCTAAAGTGGAGAGAGGTGGGAGGAGCTTCCACTTCGTTCTTGACTTGTCACAGACTATAGTTATCTTTACGCACGCTCATGTACTTTGTGACGGACAGTTACATCTAGTATCTTGAAGCACTATCTATGTTGCGGTTTTTCTTTTTTCTGTGCAAACACTTTTTAGTCGGGTGAATCAAACATGAATCTTCAATACACGCAAAGGGCACTGTGCATGTTTCGTATTTTGATTAGCGCCACTACTCCGGCGTGGTGTCAACAGTCAAGGCAGAATTTACCGCTGTTTGCACAGGGTTTGTTTCTGGCTTGCCGGGTACGAACTGAATTATGTTCAGGGACCCTTGAGCCCAGCGCAACCGTCAACGAGCCAGCAATGTGCTAGTGCTACCAAAGAGAAGACATTTGTATTGGGTCCGCGTTTGCCCCCTTGCAATTCCTTCCAGCGCGCCAGTTGAGCGCCTGTTCAGCAAGGGCAGGGACGTGTTCGCCATCAAACGAGAGAAACTTTCTGGCACAAATTTCGAGAAGCAACTATGCAACTACTGCTAAGTTACAATATGAAGTAAAAAGCGCACTCTTTATTTTATGCAATAAGACTTTGTGAGGGGCATTTTCTAGTTTTTCTTTTTGTGTTATAGAAAAGTAACTGTAACGAGTTACTCTTTGTTGCGGTAACTGTAACATTAACTTGACTACTTTCTTCTGAAAGTAACTGCAAAAAACTACTTTTTAAAAGTAACTTACCCAAGACTGCTCCGTGGACACGCTTTGGCAGGGCATGTCAACACAACTTGATAACAATAGTATTGGATCTAATAAAGTTGGCTGTTGAGGTGGGGTGTAACTAGCTGCACATTACATGACACCGCCATGTGACGTGACACTTTATGACACCACAATTTGATGCTGAGATTTCTGCCGCATCGATGATATGGGCTCTGCTCTTTGTAGTAGCTTTATCTCTGCAAGCTTGTGCAGAAGTACTGCAGTATTGTAAGTTGTATATTGTAGTATTGTGTGCTTCCTGTCATAATCTCGGCTAAAACAACCGCTAAAGTGCTTCACTTTCGTGAAAACCTGCGAGTGGCTATGGTTAATGTACTGTGGTTTGTGTAAAATTTGAAAAGTATCATTTAGCGATAATGAATATCTTGAGTTGTATGGCAATACTGTTCAAAATATCCGTCTTTGGCTCGCTGCACTTGTGGACAACTTTTCTCTGGCAATGAAGACAACTCTTGCACCATTAGTGCCGATCAAAGCTGCACACGTCCAGTCATTGTCTCTTCTGAAATGCCGGAAAAAGCTGTTGCTGAGTGTATTCTAAACTTGCACCGGCTTTCACTTACCGAAGAAGATCATTCAAGGCTCTTCTTCAGTAAGTTGCAAATTGAACAGAGTATTAAAGGTTATTCAATTTGTATATCGAGTTTCAAGTATTTTCGCGTATCTAGTTCTTACGTTTGCTTCGTTTGACTCTTGGCATCCGCATATCTTTGTACCAATGTCAGTTTTCCCACCTGCAACCGTTACAGAAACGCAGCTGGGAGACAATGAATGCCCACAGACAATCAAGGCCGACCTGCTCACGAGCGGCATCGAGTGCCGCTTTGCTTACAAGCGCTGCGACATCAAGTTCGTCTGGCCCTTCGCAGAGAAGCCGGCTTGAACTTCAAAGTGCAGCTGTGCACCCCTTTTTGGGACGGACTCGGGGAAATCGGGACATTTGCGCGTTTGAGCCTGCTGCAGTCGGAGGCTCGCCGCTGGGTTAATGGGAAGCGTTGACATTAGGGGTTTGCCCGAAACGGTCGGGCAACAGCGTGGCCCGTTTCGATCACCAGGTCGGTCGATTCGTCTAGAGGTTGTAGTTTTCGCTCTCTTGTCGGTGTGGGCAGTGCAGGTCCCTTTCGCTTCTGTGCGGCGCGAGTGCGAGAATGGGCCTAGCTTCATGGTGCCTGGATTAGTTTGTCGCATCCTCAAATGGGATTTCTCCATTTCCGCCCGATCTTTTTTAGCGCTTTATTCGGTCGGATCTCCGGGATCTCGAGGAGCCCTCTGCTTTTTGGCAGGTCTTTGTACACGGCTTGGGAAGATTATTTTTTAGAGGTTTATTACGTGACAAAGCAGAGTATTACCGGTTGTGTTCCGTAGACAGGCGCACGCCTTATTTTTCCTGCCGGTCTGTCTGTGCTGGTGACTTGTAAATAGTGTGTGCCTGCACAGATGATTTTGTGACCATTACTACTGTTGTGCATGTCTGTGAGTGTGTGCGTGTAGGCATATCGATGTGACAGTCGGTTTGTGCTGATGTCTTGTACATAGTTCTGCGATGTGGGAGGGATTTATGTGGCTTGTTTTACGAACGAGGGGCTTTTTAAGGCTGAGATTTATATTCCCTCGCTTCCTCTTAGTGGCCTTGTGGTAACCGTGGTCAAAGTGCTGTGAATACTCTTCGGAAGAAATTACTCTTTGCTCTTTGCTTGGTGTAGTGAGAGTTACTGTGATGCATTGAACAAAGCCTATTCTTGCACTGTGAAGCGCTTTTAGAAGCCGAGCCAATTCGGTGTTTGAGCCCGTCAGAATTCCCTGCCAGGCAAGGGCGTGTGTTTTACATGACAATGGCAACTGCTGCTAGCAGTTTTATATGCAACACTTTTGTGTCACATTACCTGTAGCGCATACTATGACAGTCAAACCTTATTTCTGACTGCTTTCGCAGGCACATTTTGTTCTGCAGTTTTGGAAAGTGGTAAGGAAGACAACTCGTGTACCTTGAGAGCCGATCAGCAGACTCTGTGTTTAATGTCGATTTTAATTGCATGATTTTTTCTGGTTCTCTGATGTTATATATATATTTTTTTTTTATGAAGCCATACTTGATTCTTTAGGTGCACAATAACTGTGCATGCAATATGCACTGACCAAATTATCATCTTTGGTATAGTAGTTTTGCGACTTTAGTGGGATAGGAGCGTAACAGGATAATTTCCACTGCAAGAATAAATTATGTTAATTTGGTTTTTGGAGTTTTGTCAAGCTATAACTATAGAATAGGAGGTTGACCGTGCGAAAGTATACACAATCTATTCTCGTGCATGCCAAGAGGAGACAACGAAGGTTGGGTGTCTTGAATAAGGGGGGCCGAGTGCACATTCCATAACTGCCATATGAAAAGACCACTTATGGAGGTGCCATTGTGCAGTACCTTCGCTAGAAATGAATAAAGCCATCTGCAGGGTTTCAAAACGTTTTGTCACGTTTCATACCCCAAGAGCCTGGTGATCTGTCATAAGTCGTGGTACTACAGTGAAACTATATACGTTTTCGTATCGGGAACAGTACGTACAATACCGAGCATGTGTCCACATTGAGTAAGCGTCCACCTTTTGAAGCATTTTGATTGTGAGCGAATGACATCAAGTACACTTCCCACTGATCTCTATCGTAGTCGGCTGGATCGCGGACCGCGGCCTTGGCAGCTGGGGCCGAGTGTCGCCACCGGCGGCCATTGATTGACACCAGCCAATGCATGGGACTCTATGGAAAGAATGAAAAAAAGTGCCGTTTTCCCTCGTTTCTCAGCTGTTGTCGGCACTGAAACTTTTTGGATGCTTTTCGATAAGCCCGTCAAATAGCTTGCGTAAAAACATTAAAACTGATAGCCCTCGCAGATCTCATAAATAAATATTTTGCGGTCGAGAGTAACTCCTCTGTAGTGCAGCTCAATGAGACGAGAGCTACCTAGAGTTATCGCGGAGTCGGTGGCGGTTTCGTTGAGTTGGGTTTAGCAGACTACAAGCTTGAAGGCTTTGCTACGCGGAATTCGCTCTCTCCCAGAAAGCTGCTGTCGAGATGGAACTTTTTTGTCATTTATCAACTTCTGGGCTTCCCCGAGGACGGTCTCAATGACGGCAAGTTCCTTTGTTTACTCCACTGCGAGAGCAAGCTTGCCAGCTCAGCCGTAAGTGCTCCGGTACGTTCGATTTCTTTGGTCGGTGGCCGAACGCTTCACAAATATCGATTTGATCTCCAAACAACCGACATAAGGCCCGCAGCACACCATAAAATTCTCGCCTCCGAGCACAGCGTACATGCTTCAATATTCTTACTTTTGTGCGTTTCTCCCATAGACTTGCGTGCATTGCCTGGTGTCAAGCAATGGCCGCCCGTGGCGACACCGACGGGCTCCAGATCTGCGATCCAGCCTACTACAATAGAGATCAGTGACACTTCCCAGCAGACTTCTGACTCCAAGAGCTAACCTGCCACGGGAGGGTGGAGCAAAGCGGTGAAGCTTGATGCGAGAGCGCCAGCGTGAAGTGAGCTTCATGAGAACACCGCTGCTGCTTGGAAGTTCCACCAGACCCTTGTACTGCTTCCTTACCGTTCCAGAGCATGGGCATATACAGCGTGTTTCAGCTAACACGTGCGAAAAATAAAAAAAAATAAAAGATGTTGGACATTTGTGTGTTGTACCAATGCAAAAAGAAAATTAGCATTCATTTGAGAAAAAAACAAGGGTAACTAGCGCTTTGAGCGAGCTTGCTACGCTGGAAAAGGAAGAAAGGACGCAGTAATGTTCAAGGTCCTATTGAGCAAGTCGAGATATTTTTTTGTGATGTGCCTTAGTGACTACTTCATTAGCAGACTTTTTTTTATTAAATATTAGTGCAAACTCTAAAATATTAAAGTTGTCGAACATGTTTGTGACCTTTGTGTTGTGTACACATCAACGTAGCCTTTGTGTGTTCAGTGTTTTTGAGCTTTAAAGAAAGCACGAGAGATTTAAAAAGTCCTACATGACTACCCACTAACGTAACTGCGATGTTGGAGCCCCTACTTGCAGGACTAAAAAGGAAAAAAAATATTTCGCCCGCTTTCTTTAACGCTACCTTCCAATCATTTTTAGACATGTTCGGAATTCGCGCTGAAATTAAGCATATTAAACGTAAAAACATGAAGAAAACAATTTTCTCTTGAAACGTAATCGATGGGCATGTGTCGAGTCCTCATTGCTTTGTCGATGAAATAGTCCGAAGTGAGCTGATGGCTGACAGGCTGTTGCTTCTCTGCCTGTGTATGCAGGTTTGCAGCCGCAAAATGAAGACAGTGTGCTGCTGAATCTGCTGGTGAAGGGAGAGGATGCCAGCCATGGATACCTCTCCCAAACGTTGCGTTACGACAGGGTATGTGCTCCTGACATTACGAGTGACGACCTTCGAATGACTCGGCTCTATTTCATCTTGGCACTCGTTCTGAACTTGACGTGGTAAAAGCGGAAACGGAACACTTCCAGTCGTCTCCGAATCATAACTCCTACACTTTCGGATGCTGCAAGCTTTCACGGGACTCTGACCTGGAAGGATTGCAAAAATAGTGTGATGAAGCACTCGGCTACAGCTTTATTACAGTAACATCATACTTGAGTGAGCTCGTATTTAGTAATTAAATCAAATTGACAAACTTGTAACTTCTGTGTTAGGGAAACTCTTACCTTTATACTCTGAATCAACCTTTATTTTATTTTTTTTGCGACGTTGTCTAGGCTAGCGTAGTTTCCACACTGCAGCAGCCCCGCACTGCTGCACGAGCCCATGACTGTCTCGTATCTCGTTTGCATTTTTTCTTGTGCAAAGGAGAGTTCAATCGAAGCCATAACCTGCACAAGCGGCGTGGACAGCTTGGGAACGCTGCAGAGATAATGCCATAGTACTCCGTTCGCCCTTTAGCTATCCCGTACTCCTGACATTGAGATGTGCCTTTTTAGCATGAGTGCTTGTTCTGCGGAAGAATGTCTCAAAGCCACGATCTCATGTTCTCATGCTTGTAGCCCTAGCTGCAGTCTCAACTAAAAGATGAATGGAGTATTGGCAATTTTCATTGCATGCTCTTTAGCCTACTTTCACGTCTTCTTCGGACCATCAGGCGCTGTGTATATCTGATTCGTTCGAGAGGGCTGGCGACTGAACCTGCAGCTTCTTGAGGAAGAGGGGCTTGGAGCAATAAATCAGGGTTCCGGTCCGCCCACGGAAGTGATCCCCCACCCAGGCTGCCGCCATTGCACGCAAATGTGACTACTTGTCGCGTGACCTAAGCTAATACCTGATGTCACTTGCAAGATGGCATCGCTCAGGCATTGGCTGGCTTACTGAGCTCCATGACAATTCTTAGCTGGGTCAGAGCTTGTTGGATGCGTTTTTTTGTTTTGCGAGCGAGTTGACTTCAGACGCGGTAGCCGTGATATGAAGCCGGTCGAAACTGACTGCGTGGTCTCATGTAGGTGTAGGGTGTAGATAGGGAGGAATGCTACACTTTTTGCTGGCGATCGACAGGAATATTGCCACAAAAGAGAGAGAATCGGCCCTGCGTTGCTTGGACCTCGGACTGATTCGGACATCACCATGATAAATTTTAATGCAACGTTTTTGTGCTCTCGTTGGCCATGGGAATCTTTGAGGTTTGCAGTAAAGCATGTGCGATGTATTTCGATACATGGTTTGGCACGAGTCGTGCTTGGATCTTCCAGTTTATCACTCTAAACCCGTTTACCTTGTTGCTGCCACCGCAGCTTTCCGTCTTTCCGTTCTAGCCGCTAGGTGTCTTCGATTTTGCTGGAGTCGCCAATAACCTTGACGGCGTCGCACGAAAACGTTGATGTCGAGTATAGGTTCTATGCAAACTCCAGACACGACTCCGTTTTCACGTTTTAGATCCACTTGCTGCATGATCCTGAAGACTTGCTTACCTTCTTTCCCCGCAGAAATTCCAGGCCCCCTCGCCATGCCCTGCGCCCCTCATAAAGGACGAGCCCATTACGAGCTTTGAGGACCTGAGCCAACTGGGTGCGGGGGTCAACGCCCCGACCCCGAGGCTTCAAGACCTGAGCCAACTGTATGCGGAGCTCAATGCCCCCATCCAACAGCCGCTCACAAGTGACGACTTTCACTGCGCTTTCGACCAGTCGGTGCCTTAGCTTGTCTGGCCCCGCCCTCCTCCCCAACCTTGTCTCCCCAGGCCCCAGCCATGCCTCCCTCCCGTTGTCGTCGTCGCATCCCGTCCTTCTTGGATCCTTTTGTGTGTGTAGAGGAAGGCGTTGCTATCCAATTGATTCACTTTTTCTTTTTTTTGAGAGTTTGATGTTTTTTTATTGCATTTTTGTTTTTAGTCTTTGGGTCGGAGCGATCCCTGGCCTTTTTGTATACTGTCGTGCCACCTCTGATTCCGAAACCGTTGTCGCCGCGCCTTTCTTTTGTGGCCATAACTTAGAGAGAGAGAGGGGGGGGGGGGGGGGGGGGTGTTACGAATCACTCCTTGGCCTCGCTGCACCTCGTCTGAGTACAACGTCTATGGTACGGTGCTTAAGCTCTTTCTTATAGGGGCACTGACAGGTCAAAATATTTTTTTTTATTATCCATAACGGTTGAAAACAATGCAAGGATGTTATTTTCAAAATTCAAAACTTGAAAATGCAGTTTTTATGAAGTAAAAAAAAAATAAAAAAAGTAAACAAAAAAAAAAAAAAAAAAAAAAAAAAAACGTGAAAGGCTGCCCCTGTGGAGTCACAACCGAAACTACAGTGCACAGATACCAAACCCAGTTCTTCTTAGTATTTGAAGATTTTCTTTTCGAAGTTGGGGGTCGTCGGGCACTGAAAGGAGAACTCCGTCCAATTCCCCGACTCCCCGATCATCCTCAGTGCTACATGTGCCGAGCGCCGCCATGTTTTCCGAGGGAGGATGAAAAGCCAGGAGGCAACGTCGCTTCCGGACTCCGATTTCCGGTATTTCAAGAAGGGCCGTAGTGCATTGGCAATCGCATTAGAAAACATGTTTTATGAATGCGGTTATTAAATATTGTAAAAATGTCACTTGGAAGGCTTCTAAGTTACATGATCGATTACGTCGCAAATAAAAAGAGGCGAGGAGGTGAGAAGAGCGCCAAAAACAAGGCGAGCGCGCCTGAAGAAATGTTTTTTATATATATTTTTTTGCATGTTTATGACTACAACTTGCATCGTTTTAGACAACGAAAAAAAAAATGACCTTTAAGGGGTCAGTGCCCCTTTTAACCCGAAAGGAGGAGGCACCATTGCTTTGCCTTTTTTATGCTTCACTGCCAACCCCGCCTTGCCACTGTCGTGCGGTGTGCAACCATTCGTCAGCCGCTCGCATTGCTTGCACCCTCGAAATCGAGCACACCACCTTCGACGTCTCGGAAAAAACAAAACAAAAAAACAATGGGGGTGG